TAATGATACAAATTTGGATCAAAAACAGAGATGACACAGGAACAAATTTGAGAGGAATGTGAAGCCTCGAGTTGTGTTTGTGAAGCCTCGAGTTGTGTTTGTGAAGCCTCGAGTTGTGTTTGTGAAGCCTCAAGTTGTGTTTGTGAAGCCTCGAGTTGTGTTTGTGAAGCCTCGAGTTGTGTTTGTGAAGCCTCGAGTTGTGTTTGTGAAGCCTCGAGTTGTGTTTGTGAAGCCTCGAGTTGTGTTTGTGAAGCCTCGAGTTGTGTTTGTGAAGCCTCGTGTTGTGTTTGTGAAGCCTCGAGTTGTGTTTGTGATGCCTCGAGTTGTGTTTGTGAAGCCTCGAGTTGTGTTTGTGAAGCCTCGAGTTGTGTTTGTGAAGCCTCAAGTTGTGTTTGTGAAGCCTCGAGTTGTGTTTGTGAAGCCTCGAGTTGTGTTTGTGAAGCCTCGAGTTGTGTTTGTGAAGCCTCGAGTTGTGTTTGTGAAGCCTCAAGTTGTGTTTGTGAAGCCTCGAGTTGTGTTTGTGAAGCCTCGAGTTGTGTTTGTGAAGCCTTGAGTTGTGTTTGTGAAGCCTCGAGTTGTGTTTGTGAAGCCTCGAGTTGTGTTTGTGAAGCCTCAAGTTGTGTTTGTGAAGCCTCGAGTTGTGTTTGTGAAGCCTCGAGTTGTGTTTGTGAAGCCTCGAGTTGTGTTTGTGAAGCCTCGAGTTGTGTTTGTGAAGCCTCAAGTTGTGTTTGTGAAGCCTCGAGTTGTGTTTGTGAAGCCTCGAGTTGTGTTTGTGAAGCCTTGAGTTGTGTTTGTGAAGCCTCGAGTTGTGTTTGTGAAGCCTCGAGTTGTGTTTGTGAAGCCTCAAGTTGTGTTTGTGAAGCCTCGAGTTGTGTTTGTGAAGCCTCGAGTTGTGTTTGTGAAGCCTCGAGTTGTGTTTGTGAAGCCTCGAGTTGTGTTTGTGAAGCCTCGAGTTGTGTTTGTGAAGCCTCGTGTTGTGTTTGTGAAGCCTCGAGTTGTGTTTGTGATGCCTCGAGTTGTGTTTGTGAAGCCTCGAGTTGTGTTTGTGAAGCCTCGAGTTGTATTTGTGAAGCCTCGAGTTGTGTTTGTGAAGCCTCGAGTTGTGTTTGTGAAGCCTCGAGTTGTGTTTGTGAAGCCTCGTGTTGTGTTTGTGAAGCCTCGTGTTGTTTGTGAAGCCTCGAGTTGTGTTTGTGAAGCCTCGAGTTGTATTTGTGAAGCCTCGAGTTGTGTTTGTGAAGCCTCGTGTTGTGTTTGTGAAGCCTTGAGTTGTGTTTGTGAAGCCTCGAGTTGTTTCTGAAGCCTCGTGTTGTGTTTGTGAAGCCTCGTGTTGTTTGTGAAGCCTCGAGTTGTGTTTGTGAAGCCTCGTGTTGTGTTTTGAAGCCTCGTGTTGTGTTTGTGAAGCCTCGAGTTGTGCTTGTGAAGCCTCGAGTTGTTTGTGAAGCCTCGTGTTGTGTTTGTGAAGCCTCGTGTTGTGTTTGTGAAGCCTCGAGTTGTGTTTGTGAAGCCTCGAGTTGTTTCTGAAGTCTCGTGTTGTGTTTGTGAAGCCTCGTGTTGTTTGTGAAGCCTCGAGTTGTGTTTGTGAAGCCTCGTGTTGTGTTTTGAAGCCTCGTGTTGTGTTTGTGAAGCCTCGAGTTGTGCTTGTGAAGCCTCGTGTTGTTTGTGAAGCCTCGTGTTGTGTTTGTGAAGCCTCGAGTTGTGTTTGTGAAGCCTCGAGTTGTGTTTGTGAAACCTCGAGTTTTTTGTGAAGCCTCGTGTTGTTTGTGAAGCCTCGTGTTGTGTTTGTGAAGCCTCGTGTTGTGTTTGTGAAGCCTCCTGTTGTGTTTGTGAAGCCTCGAATTGTGTTTGTGAAGCCTCGAGTTGTGCTTGTTTGTGAAGCCTCGAGTTGTGCTTGTTTGTGAAGCCTTGTAGGAGGTGTCTGTAACCAGGCTACACTCTACCTAAAACATTATTCTCATCTCCCACCATTATTCCCACCTCAGGTCTGCTGTTTGAGTTGCTTCTAGTTTTGGTGGACCTCGACATGCTCAAGGACAGTCAACACACAAAGTCTGCCTCACTTTCAAACTATTGACGGCAGGATAAACTTTCTATTTGCTTTAGAAGCCCAGTAACTTTATCTGGGAACGGCACATTTAACACACACACACACACACACACACACACTGTATAAAATATATATATATATAATATATATATATATATATATATATATATATATATATATATATATATATATATATATATTTCTGTCTTTAACTACGACTTTTGTGGAACCATCACGAAAAAAAGTAGGAATTATGATATATATTGTTGCCTTGCTACAATAACATTCATAATAATATGGAAAATGCAGTATCTACTCACAACATAACTGTACCTCATAACACTAACAAAATGGGTAATTATTTTACTCTTGGCTGAAAATGTGAACCAGCAATGACGTACAGAGTTTAGTAAGAGAATTTCGAGGTGATTATCTACCATTCCCCTCAAGGAAGGTTCCTTGATTTGTATTATATAAAGAGGACACGAGGTTGTGGGATAGTGGAAAGAGACTGACCTGAGTGTCTACGTCGTCGTGGTGCTTGTCGAAGATGGAGTGCTTGTGGGGCCTCCTTCAGGTACTCGTAGAGGGGGTCAGAATAAGAGCGTCTGTGGACGGTGCGTTGTGTGGTTGTTCTCCTGGAGGGTCTCTCCTGACTGGTGCCCAGTGAAGAAGGGGCACCCGCCCCCCACACGGGCAGCTGTTCACCCTCAACAACACTGCTGTGTGATCTACCGCCCTGAGACTGTCTTGTCTCCCTGCTGCTTCCTGCCTCTCCAAGCACTCTAACATGAGGGCGACGCTCTTGCCCATGACTGCTGGTACCCTTGCCCGCCCACTGTCCGGGGATTCCCTTATTGTGGTGCTCAATGCCATCTTTCTTGCCCCTAGACCTGTGGTTGGTGGAGTGTCTCTGGCCGTCATGTTCCTGTACTTGAGCCTGGCCGTGACTTTGGTGTCCTGGACTATAGTTTGTACACACGGATGACTCTCTACCACAGCTCACAGGGTCGGTTCTACTCCCACTCTCACCACTCGTTGCACAGTTAACTATACTTTTCCCATGGGAGCTCCCAACATAATCGCTATTATTTCGAATCTGTAAATCACGACCGCTGGTATTAAGATTTTTCCTCGTGTGGGAATTCGCTTCCTTGATATAACTAGATTGAGTATCCGGAGCGGCTTCACTCTGGTGAACTTCTATCACATGTTTCACCTGAGGAGCTTTATTAGTGAAGTGGTTCTGTAGAAGGCGTCGTATATCACTCTGGCTCGGACGACCAGCATGGGAGGGACGGGTAGGCTCTCCTTGACTTGATTGCACTCTCGAACTTTTACCGTTAACTTTAACATATCCAGTGTTTGCACTAGGTTGTTTATGCTCTGTAGACCTTAACTTTTGTTTTTTACTTATCACAGGGCTCAGATTCCTATTCCATTGCATTTTTTCCATATAATTTTCCTTTGCGACATTGTAATCCTGAATACCGTTATATTTATACATGTTTCCGTTCAAAAAATTAAGTGAACCGTTTTCTATGGTATGTACAGGGAACATTCGTTTTCTGTGATCAACTTCTGCGTTAAATCGAGAGTTTTGTAAATTAAACTGATACCGTTGTTTTGAGTAATGCAGAGGGGAATGTACAAGTTCCTGAGATTTTAGCGGAAGGGATGATGTCTGAGAGCGACCACGCACAAATGGAGAGCTCGCCGACGGTCTACGTTGACGGGAACTCCAGTTCTGGGAGGGTCTGCCGGGGTACCTGTTACTGAGACGTTCACCACCATGTCTGAAGAATGGCCTGCCGAAGTGATTGTGAGTGTGAGAGTTGTAGGAGGAATCCGCTTCGCCATCACTACTGACCACCACCAACTCATCACTATCATCCAGAGAGCGAGAGAGAGGTGGATCGTTGAAGGCCAACCCAACACCACTTTGGGGATAACCCGAGGTCGTCAGAGCCCCATTGCTCAGAGGAGAACGCAGCTCCGGCCCTAAATCCTTGAGTTCGTCCTTGAGATCGTACAGCTCCCAAGGGCTTATCGGATCGCTGTCCTCCTCGTCCTCCTCTAGATAGGAGGACTTGGAGAAGGCAGAGAGTGGGTCTGTTGGATCGTCCTTGTGGCTGTAGGAGGCGGTGTAGGAGACCTGATCCTTTAGACCATCCCACAGTCTTAACAACTCCAGCGGACGCTCCCACCCGGCCACCACCCTCACTGTCAACACAAAATGCATAACCATTAACGACATTTAATAACTGTTACGTACCCCCACACTCATGCTGTCTGTGGGCGGTAGCTGAGATCCTTACATATTGCTCACAATATGTAAGGTAAAAATACACAAGTGCAACTCATTTGACATTTTATTGTGGCAACGTTTCGCTGTCTACAGTACCTCATCTGTGCACTGGACGCCAACACTAAGATGAACCATTATTTAAGTTTTCTACAGCTGTACAGCATATTATATGATAGTGGGTCGCAAGAGACGATGTTGTTAGGCATATATTGTGAATGTAATGTAATCCGTTCCTCGGGCGCTGCCTAACCTCCCACTCCAAGACGAGTCCTGGAGGTGGGAAGTACAGTGACCTCCCACTCCAAGACGAGTCCTGGAGGTGGGAAGTACAGTGACCTCCCACTCCAAGACGAGTCCTGGAGGTGGGAAGTACAGTGACCTCCCACTCCAAGACGAGTCCTGGAGGTGGGAAGTACAGTGACCTCCCACTCCAAGACGAGTCCTGGAGGTGGGAAGTACAGTGACCTCCCACTCCAAGACGAGTCCTGGAGGTGGGAAGTACAGTGACCTCCCACTCCAAGACGAGTCCTGGAGGTGGGAAGTACAGTGACCTCCCACTCCAAGACGAGTCCTGGAGGTGGGAAGTACAGTGACCTCCCACTCCAAGACGAGTCCTGGAGGTGGGAAGTACAGTGACCTCCCACTCCAAGACGAGTCCTGGAGGTGGGAAGTACAGTGACCTCCCACTCCAAGACGAGTCCTGGAGGTGGGAAGTACAGTGACCTCCCACTCCAAGACGAGTCCTGGAGGTGGGAAGTACAGTGACCTCCCACTCCAAGACGAGTCCTGGAGGTGGGAAGTACAGTGACCTCCCACTCCAAGACGAGTCCTGGAGGTGGGAAGTACAGTGACCTCCCACTCCAAGAAGAGTCCTGGAGGTGGGAAGTACAGTGACCTCCCACTCCAAGACGAGTCCTGGAGGTGGGAAGTACAGTGACCTCCCACTCCAAGAAGAGTCCTGGAGGTGGGAAGTACAGTGACCTCCCACTCCAAGAAGAGTCCTGGAGGTGGGAAGTACAGTGACCTCCCACTCCAAGACGAGTCCTGGAGGTGGGAAGTACAGTGACCTCCCACTCCAAGAAGAGTCCTGGAGGTGGGAAGTACAGTGACCTCCCACTCCAAGACGAGTCCTGGAGGTGGGAAGTACAGTGACCTCCCACTCCAAGACGAGTCCTGGAGGTGGGAAGTACAGTGACCTCCCACTCCAAGACGAGTCCTGGAGGTGGGAAGTACAGTGACCTCCCACTCCAAGACGAGTCCTGGAGGTGGGAAGTACAGTGACCTCCCACTCCAAGACGAGTCCTGGAGGTGGGAAGTACAGTGACCTCCCACTCCAAGACGAGTCCTGGAGGTGGGAAGTACAGTGACCTCCCACTCCAAGACGAGTCCTGGAGGTGGGAAGTACAGTGACCTCCCACTCCAAGAAGAGTCCTGGAGGTGGGAAGTACAGTGACCTCCCACTCCAAGACGAGTCCTGGAGGTGGGAAGTACAGTGACCTCCCACTCCAAGACGAGTCCTGGAGGTGGGAAGTACAGTGACCTCCCACTCCAAGACGAGTCCTGGAGGTGGGAAGTACAGTGACCTCCCACTCCAAGACGAGTCCTGGAGGTGGGAAGTACAGTGACCTCCCACTCCAAGACGAGTCCTGGAGGTGGGAAGTACAGTGACCTCCCACTCCAAGACGAGTCCTGGAGGTGGGAAGTACAGTGACCTCCCACTCCAAGACTTGAGTCTTGGAGGTGGGAAATACAGTGACCTCCCACTCCAAGACTTGAGTCCTGGAGGTGGGAAGTACAGTGACCTCCCACTCCCAGACTTGAGTCCTGGAGGTGGGAAGTACAGTGACCTCCTACTCCCAGACTTAAGTCGTGGAGGTGGGAAGTACAGTGACCTCCCACTCCAAGACTTGAGTCCTGGAGGTGGGAAGTACAGTGACCTCCCACTCCCAGACTTGAGTCCTGGAGGTGGGAAGTACAGTAACCTCCCACTCCCAGACTTAAGTCGTGGAGGTGGGAAGTACAGTAACCTCCCACTCCCAGACTTAAGTCGTGGAGGTGGGAAGTACAGTGACCTCCCACTCCCAGACTTGAGTCCTGGAGGTGGGAAGTACAGTGACCTCCCACTCCCAGACTTGAGTCCTGGAGGTGGGAAGTACAGTAACCTCCCACTCCCAGACTTAAGTCCTGGAGGTGGGAAGTACAGTAACCTCCCACTCCCAGACTTAAGTCGTGGAGGTGGAAGTACAGTAACCTCCCACTCCCAGACTTGAGTCCTGGAGGTGGGAAGTACAGTAACCTCCTACTCCCAGACTTAAGTCGTGGAGATGGGAAGTACAGTGACTTCCCACTCTAAGACTTCTGAAGGTGAGAAGTACAGTGACCTCCCACTCCCAGACTTGAGTCGTGGAGGTGGGTAGTTCAGTGTCTGAGCCGTCAAGGACGGGTCTGGGCACAGTGCAGTTCGGAGGGTCATTCAGACTGTCACGTCTGAGCACTTTGACGGTGAATATTTCTTTTGGTGTAAAACGACTGACGTGTTAGTACTACTACTATTAATAACAACAGTAATATTGTAATACTTTTACTACAACTAATAATAATAATAACAATAAGGGGGGAGATATGATACATTTTTTAAGTGCAGTGTAGGCGTGCCTCTGGCAAGACAGTGATGGAGTGAATGATGATGAAAGTTTTCTTCTTTTTTGGGTCATCCTGCCTCGGTGTGTTAATAAAATAATAATAATTGTCAGCAGTGTTATTTGTGTAGTATATATATATAATTCTTAATACATTCCTTGATATAATAATGCTGATAGAGGAGTGGAGAACGTACCTCCGAGCGGGGAGGCCTCCAGCAGATGAGGTAGAGGATCACCGGTGTCCCTGACGCAGGCAGCCACATCCCTGAAGGTGGTGACGGGTGTCAGGGGCACCCAAGACACTCCCCCGTCCTCACGCCACACCCCCAGGATCTCCTGCAGTACACACACACAGGTTAGGTGGAAGCAGTGTTTTATTGGGCAAGAAGCTTCTGGTGGTCACATAATTCACACTGTCGTAATGTCTCCTGACACAGGTGTTTGTCACATAATGATACACACTGTCGTAATGTCTCCTGATACAGGTGTTTGTCACATGATGATTCATACTGTCTTAATGTCTCCTAACACAGATGTTTATCACAGGATTACACACACAGTTGTAATGCTTACCTACTTTACCTAGTTCAAGTTATTATAAAAATACAGACTGACCACCATGACCTGGGAAAATGTTAGTTCCAGTGCTGTACCACTGAGCTACGAGGCTCACCACAGAAAGATTTCTCAGAGAGCACTTGTATACCACTAGTGTCTGTGCACTCTGACGTAGAGTGCACAGGTTCGAGTCCTGCTCTGATATAAAATAGTGTTTCTAAATAATTTCGCCCGTTCGTAATTGGGTAAGCATTCTAAAATCTCTTGTGGGCCATTGCTTGCTACAGTACGTAATGGTACTTATCTTCACTTCCCTCATTGTGCTGACATTGTGTACTATCCTCACCCTCCCTCACTGTGCTGATAGTGTACATTGTCTTCATCCTTCTTCAGTGTATGCTGAGAGTGTGGAGTACCTTCATCCTCTCTCGTGTGCTGACAGCTCTCCCACAAGTACGACAATATTCTGGAAGCTAAATTTAGGAGATTTCTACCCGAGTTATGTGATATCACTGGGCAGCGTGGAGTGTGCCTTCGCCTCACACTCATAATTAACAAGAGGAGGGCTTCGAGCCGGGCTAGGTTGGCCAGGGTCAGTCTAGATCAGGGCAGGCAAAGAGGCCAGACTTGTGGACGTCCAAGCTTCACCTAACTCTGTTCTCTGGCTCACTTCAGCAAGGGGGCTCCCGGTGATCGTATTTGCTTGGACTTCCTTTTTCTGCAATTCTGAAAGCTCCTGATGATGTGTTGATTGCAACACGAAAGGCCTAGAGCTACCATTCAACTCCCCCCGTGATCATTTTGCATCTTGTATCGCTTGTTCATGATTTCTGCATAATACCATAAGACCAAAATACTGATGCATGCTAGTGATATTCTTTGTACTTACCTAGTTGTGGTTGCAGGGGTCGATTCATAGCTCCTGGTTCCGCCTCTTCGCTGGTCGCTACAGTACTTCGATATGATTTTAAGTGTACCTCGCTGTTCCCTCAGAAAGCCCACACATCATGCTAACCCAGCAAAGTTATGATTCCAGAATAACCCAAGAAAGCCAGACTGTGGCTTATTCCTGTTGGGGTCCTCTTCCCCAGGATGCTACCCACAACAGTCTCATAACTCCCGGGAACCTATGTTTTGCTGCGTGAGGAAGGACTGCAGGTATTTCGTAGCTTGGTTGGTAACGCACTAAGCGCACTCTTTGAGGTCCGTGGTTCGATTCCCAGTACGGGTGGAAACATTGGGGCGTGTGTCCTTAAGACACCTGCTGTCCCTGTTCACCTAGCAGTAAATAGGCACCTGGGTGTTAACAGACTGGTGTGGGTCGCATCCTGGGTACAAGATTAACAAAAGCTGCCTGGAATGCTCTGTATAACAAGGGGCTTTCTACACAGTATGTCACTGATGTCAGCTATGGTCTGTATACGTTGTATCATGTACATGCAGAAATAAAAATGATATTATTATTATTATTATTATTATTAATTATTATTATTATTATTATTATTATTATTATTATTATTATTTTTAGGAAAAACACATACGCAGACACTAGGATATTTTTACTGGACAAGAATGATCTGCTACTGAGTTTACTCCGGCTCTTCTCTATACCTGAAGACTTTGAGTTTACTCCGGCTCTTCTCTATACCTGAAGACTTTCCTTTCCAGAGCTATTTATGTCCCTCAAGTAACGCCTATCAGAGGCCCTCTGATGGACCGTACCTGAGAGTTCCTTCCTTCATTTCGGTCGTGGGACACTAGGTCACTGCAAGTGTCCCAGGTGTCTGAATACCGTGACTTTCTCCAACTACCTGTGGTTATTACATACTGTGTTGGCATCCCGGGTAGCAAGATAGAATCAGTGAGTAGTGTATTACAGGAGTGAGATGGCAGGAGTACATATGGTGGGGGTCCTCACAGGAGTACAAATGGTGGTAATGGGTCCTCACAAGATGATAAATTGAACACTTGTAAAGATAAGCAAGGGCAGAGGAGTGGAGCTGTCTTGGACAAGCTCCAAATCACAAGGTGTAGGGCTGGAGGCTGTGCTCTCACGCACATCTCTAACCCTCCTGCACACACACACACACACACACACACGTCGCCAGAATAACACAAACTATGTATCGCTAGCGGCATATACGAACCTCAGAACAGCATTTATAAACTTAAAGAAAAACCCCTACATAACTTTTCATACAGGTACGACAGATGTTAGGTCATTGAACAATTGGCCTATACATGGAGACAACACCTGGCCAAGCGCGTTAAGACCTCGAAGAGGTAAACAACAGATTGCAAGGAGACAGTGCCGTGAACCGAGAGGAATGCAATATGAGAAGCGGTTGAAGGCTCTCAACCTGACCAACTGAAGAGAGAGAAGAGACGTAACATGATTACGACGTAAACAATCAGAAGAGGAATTGATGGGGCAGATAAGGACAGCCTTTGAAGAAGACCAGGATCAATGGGACAGTGGATTAAGGGGACCAGGATCAATAGGAGTGTTTGAATTAAGATGACCAGGATCAATGGAACATAAGTGGATACTAAAGACAAATGAGTGGCTGAAGAGTGGCATTGGTTGGACGAGGCAATGGTGGAGGCAAAATCAGTACACAGCTTCACTAGTAGATATCACAAGGCCCAAGAGACCAGAAGTCAGTGATGCTGATCAAAGTGGTTCTGGAGGCCAATATAACTCGGTGAGTATAACTTAGTGAGCACACACACAAACACCTAAGTAAGGAATCATTCACGACACTGTACACAGTGTACGTCTGGCCCATATTAGAGTACGCAGCACCAGTATGGAACCCACACCTGGTCAAACACGTCAAGAAATTAGAGAGTGCAGAGGTTTTCAACAAGATTAGTCGCGGAGCTGAGGGGGATATGATAATATAAAATACTGAGAGGAACTGACAAGGTGGACAGAGACAGGATGTTCCAGAGATTGGACACAGTAACAAGGGGACACAACTTGAAGTTGAAGACTCAGATGAGTCACAGGGATGTTAGGAAGTATTTCTTCAGCCACAGAATTGTCAGGAAGTGGAACAATCTGGAGAGTGGTGTAGTGGAGGAAGGATCCATACACAGCTTTAAGAAGAGGTATGATAAAGCTCATGGAGCAGGGAGAGTGGACCTAGTAGCGCCCAGTGAAGAGGCGGGGCCAGGAGCTATGAATTAACCCCTGCAACCATCAATAAATGAATACACACACACATTCAACCCTTGTATCTTCCAAGGTAGTGTCTTAATACTGGAGAAGGGCTCTTGATGCAAGGAACTGGAGCTACCCTCCCCTTCTCCTGACTAAACCCAGAAGGGTTTAGTTCTAGCATTTTACATAATAATAATAATAATAATAATAATAATAATAATAATAATAATAATAATAATAATGCCCTAAAGAATTATTTATAGCTTAGATAAAATTCTTAAAGCTTCTGTAAGAGCGTGACTTGTGTTAGTAAGTGTTAACTGCCTCTGTTAATGGGGTTTAAAACCTGTCTACTACACGAGGGTCATTAAGGCTCCACCTGACCTGTTCACCACTGGTCAAGTATACTTAAGTACCTCTAACAAGCACTACAGCAAACTCTCAAGTCTATATACACTGAAAGTTTACTGTAAACCTTGCCTGGCAGTCTATATACACTATATATACACTTTAGCAGAGTTTACAGTAAATTCTGTACATATATATATATATATATATATATATATATATATATATATATATATATATATATATATATATATATATATATATACAGTGGTCCCTCGCTTTTCGTAGTTCTCGTCAATCTTAAATTTCGCCAATCATAGGGGTATTTTTGTATAAACATGGACTCGTTTTTCATAGGTAGACTCGCGAATAGTAGTTTGTCCGGGACGCGTAAGCACGGTGTGAGCCGGGGAGGCCTCCCTACCCAGCTAGTCTGGCATTGTTTACCAGTGAGTGAAGGTCCCCTCGAGTGCTCCTACGAAACATTTCATAATGTTCCACTCATTTTAGTGCTTGCAAGTACTAAATAAGCTACCATGGCTCGAAAGAAAGCTCCTAGTGCCAAGCCTGTGGTAAAGAAGGTGAGAAATATGTACAGTGACAAAGTCTTGGGCCATTTTAGGGAAGTGTTAAAGAGACGCCAGAAACAGAGCTCTCTCCACAGTTTATTTGCGAGACAGGACTCCAGTGACTCTCAAGGTGGTCCTAGTGGCATTAAGAAACAGAGAAGAGAAGCAACCCCAGAAAAGCAAATGGTACCTGAGGTGTTGATGGAAGGGGATTACCCTTCCAAACTATAAACAATCCACTCTCTCTCCTCCTCCAGTCTCCCATACACTAAGAAGAATCTCCAATAAAGGTAAGTGTTATGCTGTTAATGTTTCATTCATTATTTCCCATTGTATTGTTTATGTACTACATGTATATTTCATGTAAATATTTTTTTTTGTTTTAATACTTCTGGGTGTCAGGAACGGATTAATTGTATTTACATTATTTCTTATGGGGGAAAATTGATTCGCAAATCGTAAATTTAGTTTATAGTAGCTCCTCCAGGAACGGATTAATTACGAAAAACGAGGGACCACTGTATATATATAGCCTGGTAGTATGTACTGGAGGCCTGGTAGTGTGTACTGGAGGCCTGGTAGTGTGTACTGGAGGCCTGGTAGTGTGTACTGGAGGCCTTGTAGTGTGCACTGGAGACCTGGTAGTGTGTACTGGAGACCTGGTAGTGTGTACTGGAGGCCTGGTAGTGTGTACTGGAGGCCTGGTAGTGTGTACTGGAGGCCTGATAGTGTGTACTGGAGGCCTTGTAGTGTGCACTGGAGACCTGGTAGTGTGTACTGGAGACCTGAGAGTGTGTACTGGAGGCCTGGTAGTGTGTACTGGAGACCTGGTAGTGTGTACTGGAGACCTGGTAGTGTGTACTGGAAGCCTGGTAGTGTGTACTGGGTGCCTGATAGTGTGTACTGCAGACCTGGTAGTGTGTACTGGAGGCCTGGTAGTGTGTACTGGAGACCTGATAGTATGTACTGGAGGCCTTGTAGTGTGCACTGGAGACCTGGTAGTGTGTACTGGAGACCTGGTAGTGTGTACTGGAGGCCTGGTAGTGTGTACTGGAGACCTGGTAGTGTGTACTGGAGGCCTGATAGTGTGTACTGGGGGGCCTGATAGTGTGTACTGCAGACCTGGTAGTGTGTACTGGAGGCCTGGTAGTGTGTACTGGAGACCTGGTAGTGTGTACTGGAGACCTGGTAGTGTGTACTGGAGGCCTGGTAGTGTGTACTGGAGGTCTGGTAGTGTGTACTGGAGGCCTGGTAGTGTGTACTGGAGGCCTGGTAGTGTGTACTGGAAACCTGGTAGTGTGTACTGGAGGCCTGGTAGTGTGTACTGGAGACCTGGTAGTGTGTACTGGAGACCTGGTAGTGTGTACTGGAGGCTTGGTAGTGTGTACTGGAGAACTGGTAGTGTGTACTGGAGGCCTGGTAGTGTGTACTGGAGACATGGTAGTGTGTACTGGAGGCCTGGTAGTGTGTACTGGAGGCCTAATAGTGTGTACTGGAGGCCTGATAGTGTGTACTGAAGGCCTGGTGGTGTGCACTGGAGGCCTGGTAGTGTGTACTGGAGACCTGGTAGTGTGTACTGGAGGCCTGGTAGTGTGTACTGGAGACCTGGTAGTGTGTACTGGAGGCCTGGTAGTGTGTACTGGAGACCTGGTAGTGTGTACTGGAGGCCTGGTAGTTTGTACTGGAGGCCTGGTAGTGTGTACTGGAGGCCTGATAGTGTGTACTGGAGGCCTGGTAGTGTGCACTGGAGGCCTAGTAGTGTGTACTGGAGACCTGGTAGTGTGTACCGGAGGCCTGGTAGTGTGTACTGGAGACCTGGTAGTGTGTACTGGAGGCCTGGTAGTGTGTACTGGAGGTCTGCTAGTGTGCACTGGAGGCCTGGTAGTGTACTGGAGGCTGTAGTGTGTACTGGAGACCTGGTAGTGTGTACTGGAGGCCTGGTATTGTGTACTGGAGGTCTGGTAGTGTGTACTGGAGGCCTGGTAGTGTGCACTGGAGGCCTGGTAGTATGTACTGGAGGCCTGGTAGTGTGTACTGGAGACCTGGTAGTGTGTACTGGAGGCCTGGTATTGTGTACTGGAGGCCTGATAGTGTGTACTGGAGGCCTGCTAGTGTGCACTGGAGGCCTGTTAGTGTGTACTGGAGGCCTGGTAGTATGTACTGGAGGCCTGGTATTGTGTACTGGAGGCCTGGTAGTGTGCACTGGAGGCCTGGTTGTATGTACTGGAGGCCTGGTAGTGTGTACTGGAGGCCTGGTAGTGTGTACTGGAGGCCTGGTAGTGTGCACTGGAGGCCTGGTAGTATGTACTGGAGGCCTGGTAGTGTGCACTGGAGGCCTGGTAGTGTGTACTGGAGGCCTGGTAGTATGTACTGGAGGCCTGGTAGTGTGCACTGAAAGCCTGGTAGTGCGTACTGGAGGCCTGGAAGTATGTGCTGGAGGTCTGGTAGTATGTACTGGAGGCCTGGTAGTATGTACTGGAGGCGTGGTAGTATGTACCGGAGGCCTGGTAGTATGTACTGGAGGCCTGGTAGTATGTACTGGAGGCCTGGTGGTGTGTACTGGAGGCCTGGTGGTGTGTACTGGAGACCTGGTGGAGTGTACTGGAGGCCTGGTAGTATGTACTGGAGGCCTGGTATGTACTGGAGGCCTGGTAGTATGTACTGGAGGCCTGGTAGTATGTACTGGAGGCCTGGTAGTATGTACTGGAGGCATGGTAGTTTGTACTGGAGGCCTGGTAGTATGTACTGGAGACCTGGTAGTATGTACTGGAGGCATGGTAGTTTGTACTGGAGGCCTGGTAGTATGTACTGGAGACCTGGTAGTATGTACTGGAGGCCTGGTAGTATGTACTGAAGGCCTAGTAGTATGTACTGGAGGCCTGGTAGTGTGTACTGGAGGCCTGGTAGTGTGTACTGGAGGCCTGGTAGTATGTACTGGAGGCCTGGTAGTGTGCACTGGAGGCCTGGTAGTGTGCACTGGAGGCCTGGTAGTTTGTACTGGAGGCCTGGTAGTGTGTACTGGAGGCCTGGTAGTGTGCACTGGAGGCCTGGTAGTGTGTACTGGAGGCCTGATAGTGTGTACTGGAGGCCTGGTAGTGTGCACTGGAGGCCTGGTAGTGTGTACTGGAGGCCTGGTAGTATGTACTGGAGGCCTGGTAGTGTGCACTGGAGGCCTGGTAGTGTGCACTGGAGGCCTGGTAGTTTGTACTGGAGGCCTGGTAGTGTGCACTGGAGGCCTGGTAGTTTGTACTGGAGGCCTGGTAGTGTGCACTGGAGGCCTGGTAGTTTGTACTGGAGGCCTGGTAGTATGTACTGGAGGGTTGATAGGTATAATAATGAGACAGTTAATGTTTGCGGCTGAGTCAACTTTGTGTTGCCAGATGAGAGAAGTGGAAAACCGTCCTGGGGATCACAACAGCAGCAGCAGGAGGAGCAGAAGAAGGAGCAGGAGGAGGAGTAGAAGGAGGAGTAGGAAGAAGAGGAGGAAGAGGAGGAGGAGAGTGAGAGGGAGAAGAGAGGAGAAGCCTTAGGGAGGACAAGCAGGAAAAAATAATGGAGAGGACATTGACACGGGGTGTAAGGTGATTCATTACGATGTTGTATAATTCATGTGGTGCTTTTCCACTTGGGGTCCTCAGCTCCTGGTCCCCAGGATGCCGCCCACAATAGTCTACTGAGTCGAGCAACAGGTTTGCAAGGAAAGACACCCATCGCTTCCGCTCGCCCCAGGATCAAACCCGGGTCTGATGGTTCCCGTTCTCCAGGTGCTGTGTGGGGGTTATGGGAGGGGGAGTTGGGAGGGGTGGGGGTAGTTACACATTGTTTTCACTCATTTGACATCCTCGACCTTCATTACTCCTGACATCATCTCCCTCCCACTTAACATTCTTGACCTTCATTACTCCGACAATCATCTCCCTCCCACTTAACATCCTCGACCTTCATTACTCCTGACATCATCTCCCTCCCACTTAACATTCTTGACCTTCATTACTCCTGACATCATCTCCCTCCCACTTAACATTCTTGACCTTCATTACTCCTGACATCATCTCCCTCCCACTTAACATTCTTGACCTTCATTACTCCTGACATCATCTCCTCCCACTTAACATTCTTGACCTTCATTACTCCTGACATCATCTCCCTCCCACTTAACATCCTCGACCTTCATTACTCCTGACATCATCTCCCCCACTTAACATCCTCGACCTTCATTACTCCTGACATCATCTCCTCCCACTTAACATTCTTGACCTTCATTACCCTGACATCATCTCCCTCCCACTAACATTCTGACCTTCATTACTCCTGACATCATCTCCCTCCCACTTAACATTCTTGACCTTCATTACTCCCGACATCATCATCTCCTCCCAGCATCACCTCTGTCATCACTTCCGGTGACAAAGCTTCCAGTCTCCTGTGTCAATTCATTGTCTTCTTTGTCTAACTCTTAGATATCCCGTGTTTTTGTTTCCTTGTTGCATCACCCCGTGTTCTTGTTGCTGCACCCCGTGTTCTTGTTGCATCACCCCGTGTTCTTGTTGCTGCACCCCGTGTTCTTGTGCCTGGCCACCCGTGTTCTTGTTGCTGCACCCCGTGTTCTTGTTGCTGCACCCCGTGTTCTTGTTGCATCACCCCGTGTACTTGTTGCTGCACCCCGTGTTCTTGTTGCTGCACCCCGTGTTCTTGTTGCTGCACCCCGTGTTCTTGTTGCTGCACCCCGTGTTCTTGTTGCTGCATCCCGTGTTCTTGTTGCTGCACACCCCGTGTTCTTGTTGCTGCACCCCGTGTTCTTGTTGCTGCACCCCGTGTTCTTGCTGCATCACCCCGTGTTCTTGTTGCTGCACCCCGTGTTCTTGTTGCTGCACCCCGTGTTCTTGTTGCTGCACCCCGTGTTCTTGTTGCTGCACCCCGTGTTCTTGTTGCTGCACCCCGTGTTCTTGTTGCTGCACCCCGTATTCTTGTTGCTGCACCCCGTGTTCTTGTTGCTGCACCCCGTGTTCTTGTTGCTGCCACCCGTGTTCTTGTTGCTGCACCCCGTGTTCTTGTTGCTGCACCCCTGTTCTTGTTGCTGCACCCCGTGTTCTTGTTGCTGCACCCCGTATTCTTGTTGCATCACCCCGTGTTCTTGTTGCTGCACCCCGTGTTCTTGTTGCATCACCCCGTGTTCTTGTTGCTGCACCCCGTGTTCTTGTTGCTGCACCCCGTGTTTTTGTGTGCTGCACCCGTGTTCTTGTGCTGCACCCCGTATTCTTGTGCATCACCCCGTGTTCTTGTTGCTGCACCCCGTGTTCTTGTTGCATCACCCCGTGTACTTGTTGCTGCACCCCGTGTTCTTGTTGCATCACCCCGTGTTCTTGTTGCTGCACCCCGTGTTCTTGTTGCTGCACCCCGTGTTCTTGTTGCTGCACCCCGTGTTCTTGTTGCATCACCCCGTGTACTTGTTGCTGCACCCCGTGTTCTTGTTGCTGCACCCCGTGTTCTTGTTGCTGCACCCCGTGTTCTTGTTGCATCACCCCGTGTACTTGTTGCTGCACCCCGTGTTCTTGTTGCTGCACCCCGTGTTCTTGCTGCATCACCTCACACACTGCCTCCACATCTCACCTATATATCAACCTTTTTTACTTAGTAGAGAAGAAAAGGGCACAATAACCGTGACTAGAAGAACACACAAATAACCCGGACCGAGACGTCGGACGACGTTTCGGTCCGACTTTAACCACTGACAAGTGACTTGTGAATGGTCTAAGTCGGACCGGAACGTCAATGTAAGATTCTGTCTCCTGTCTGTTGATGTATTTAAGTACTGAACAATGTGACTTAGTTCACCTTTATATTGTCTCTGTTCGTTTCGGTTTCCCTCTCTGTTTATCTTTGCCTCTGTTTATCTCTGTTTGTCTCTGTCTCTCTGTTTACCTCTGTCTCTCTCTGTTTATTTATCTCTGTTTACCTGTCTCTGTCTCACCCTGGCAGGTGACCTTCAGAGTGCCTCCTGCACCCGGCCTCTCATGCCCAGGTGAACAACATGATGCAGTAAAGGCCGTGCTAAATACTTATACGTGCTTGCAGGGGTCGAGTCATAGCTCCTGGCCATGTCTATTAGCTCCTACTGCTAGTTTTATGAATAATGGGCCCTGTGGTACCATCCTTAAAGCTGTGTATGGTGTTTAATTTTACCACCAAATTATCTAAGTCGTTTCAATTTCAGATCCATCAAAGGGGTGATTTGACGCCGGTGAGTTCCTGATTCAAGGAATTGAAACTACCCTCCCTTTCCTCGGATCAAATTTGATCCGAATCTTTAGCAGCAAAGTACGCAGTACTTTTTTTTTTTTAGCCACTGCCAGATCCCGGATATGGGTATGGGATTGACCGTCTAGCTTCGACTAGGCGCCCATACTTATCTGGGATCTGGCTGAGTGGCTTAGGTACTGCGTACTTTGATGCAGAGTGTGCAGGTTCGAATCCTCTCACCAATATATATAATATATATATATATATATATATATAATATATATATATATATATATATGGTGAGAGCGTCCACATGGGCATATCAGGTGACCCGTAAGGGCGAGAAATTACCGAAGCTGTAAGCTCAGGTTACGCTACAACTCTTCCTCCTTCCCTCCCTCACGGTCAAGGTCAACACTCTCAAGTGTTAGCACTGCTACTGTCTCTTCAGCAGCGCTTTTCAACTTCCAAGAAACAGTCTGCTAGACTGTGCTACAGTCTGAGGCTAAGACTACACAACAGTGTACCAGACTGTGTAGCAGGTGAAGGTAAGACTACACAACAGTGTACCAGACTGTACAGCAGGTGAAGGTAAGACTACACAACAGTGTACCAGACTGTACAGCAGGTGAAGGTAAGACTACACAACAGTGTACCAGACTGTACAGCAGGTGAAGGTAAGACTACACAACAGTGTACCAGACTGTGTAGCAGGTGAAGGTAAGACTACACAACAGTGTACCAGTCTGTACAGCAGGTGAAGGTAAGACTACACAACAGTGTACCAGACTGTGTAGCAGGTGAAGGTAAGACTACACAACAGTGTACCAGACTGTGTAGCAGGTGAAGGTAAGACTACACAACAGTGTACCAGACTGTACAGCAGGTGAAGGTAAGACTACACAACAGTGTACCAGACTGTGTAGCAGGTGAAGGTAAGACTACACAACAGTGTACCAGACTGTACAGCAGGTGAAGGTAAGACTACACAACAGTGTACCAGACTGTACAGCAGGTGAAGGTAAGACTACACAACAGTGTACCAGACTGTGTAGCAGGTGAAGGTAAGACTACACAACAGTGTACCAGACTGTACAGCAGGTGAAGGTAAGACTACACAACAGTGTACCAGACTGTACAGCAGGTGAAGGTAAGACTACACAACAGTGTACCAGACTGTACAGCAGGTGAAGGTAAGACTACACAACAGTGTACCAGACTGTACAGCAGGTGAAGGTAAGACTACACAACAGTGTACCAAACTGTGTAGCAGGTGAAGGTAAGACTACACAACAGTGTACCAGACTGTGTAGCAGGTGAAGGTAAGACTACACAACAGTGTACCAGTCTGTACAGCAGGTGAAGGTAAGACTACACAACTGGGAGACAGAAATGGTGAAGCTGGAGGTGCTGTCCTGGGAGACAGTAATGGTGAAGCTAGAGATGCTGTCCTGGGAGACAGTAATGGTGAAGCTGGAGGTGCTGTCCTGGGAGACAGTAATGGTGAAGCTGGAGATTTTGTCCAGGTAGTCGGGAATTATACGCAGGAAGGAATGCATATAAATGACCTCATAGGGACATGAGCCGTAGTGGGGAAACAAGTATAGTCAAAGATAAGATAAAACCAATATTGCAAACAAGAAATACAACAGGAAATAGCAAACAAGAGGACTCCACTAGCAATAGTGAGGATATATTACCAAAAACAACCGGTGGGAGCTCCATTGTTGGTGCTAGGAAAGATAGGAATAAGACAGGTAAACATGCACCAACAGGGAATACAGTCACAGAAACCCAAGGCAAACGGAAACCAAGCCTGTGCACATACTATGCACTTGGTATCTGCAGACATGGGAAATCTGGAAAAACAGATGGGACGTGCAACTATGACCACCTAAGAAAATGCCGTGCCATATGACAACAGGAAAATGCAAACTCCCTTCCTGTAAGCTTTTTCACCCTGAAATGTGTACCTCTTCAGTACAGGAAAGACTGTGCAATAACTTAAATTGCCAGGCACACCATCTAAAGGGGACAAAAAGATACAAAACATCCAGGCCATGGGAAAACCTGGGTAGCCACAGCCACTCAAGAGGGAGAGGTTTTTTTAGTGCCAGGAAGGAAAAAAATGGCAGGAAATGGCAGAAATTGTACACCAAATCCAGTCATTCCTGGAGTGGAACCACAGTCGATGGCCTCCACTCCAAACCAACAGATACAGATACTAATGCCGGAAAAAAATCCCCCCCCCCAGTACCAACAATACCACCAGTCCGATAACATTCTTCTTTGCAAATATACAGGGTCTAAAGCCAGCAACAAACAACAAAATACCTTTCATCCGTGGACTGCTTGCAGAGGCAAAGGCAATGTTCGCGGGTTTCACTGAGACCCACATAAAGGATCACTTGGACAACGAAATATGGATCCCAGGTTACAACCTATACAGATGTGACAGAGTGAACAGGCAAAGGGGGGGGGGGTTGCCCTGTACATTGCAGAGTCACTTGTTTGCACAGAACTGCTTAATGCCTCAAATGATGTAGTGGAAGTTTTAGCAGTAAAGGTCGAGAACCAAAACCTAGTCATTGGGTAGTCTACAAGCCTCCGGATGCAACATCCCAGCAATTCCAGGAACAGCTGTTAAAAAATTGACCACTGTCTGGAAATCTTCCCCAGCTCCTGCACCAACATCTTGCTCCTGGGGGATTTCAACTTAAGGCACCTAAAATGGAGGAATATAGCAAATAATATTGTTGCAGTAATAACACCAGGAGGCAGCTCTGATGAAAACTCACACTCACACGAGCTTTTAAATCTCTGCACAAAATTCAATTTAAACCAGCAAATAACAGAGCCTACTAGAATGGAGAATACACTAGACCTCATCTTCACTAACAATGATGATCTGATAAGAAATGTCACCATATCAAAAACAATATACTCAGATCACAACATAATTGAGGTTCAGTCATGTATGCGCGAAGCCCCAGACCGACAAAATGAGATTAATCACGAGGGAGCATTCACCAAATTCAACTTCAATAACAAAAACAAAGTGGGACCAAGTAAACCAAGTCCTAACCGATATAAGCTGGGAAGATATACTAAGCAACACAGACCC